CAAAATTAGTGATACACAATATGGGTTTCGTAAACTAAGATCGACATCAGAAAATATAGCTAACCTTATCCTAGACATTAATATATCCTTTTCTGAACGTAAATCCCTGGTATCTCTATTCATAGATGTAGAAGGTGCATATGATAATATCAAATTAAATATCCTCTATCAACAAATGGAAAAGATAGGAATACCCAGTGACTTTGGTAAAAGAATAATAAAATTGTATTCAAATAGGAATCTACAACTTCAAATCAATAATGAACTATTGGATCCAAGAATTTCTAATGTTGGGTTACCGCAAGGAAGCATCCTTAGTCCTTTACTATATCTCATTTATACCTCAGACTTACACAAAAAAATTAATACAAGAGGAAATGTTCTACAGTTTGCTGATGATGTGTGTATATATGTACCTAAAGTTGAAATCGATCAAGGTATCAATATAATGAGTGAAATGTTTTCGACAATAGAAGAGTATTATTTTAATATAGGTCTCAGCATCTCTACAAAGAAAACCCAAGCATGTATATTCTCCAAAAAACATAGATTACCACAATCCATAGTATTCAATAACGTTAATTTTGAGGTTCAATCATCCATTAACTATTTGGGTATGGTAATAGATAGGAAGTTATTGTGGAACGAACACATAGACCGCTTAATAACAAAAACAGAAAAAGGATTAAATGCAATAAGATCAGTGTGTCATACAAGTTGGGGAGCTGATCCAAATATTACGCTTACCTTTTATAAAGCTTATATTCGTTCAATAATAGATTATGGGTCAATTTTTTATAGTCAAGCAGCGAAGACTCATCTGAAGAAATTAGATAGGCTAGTAAATAAAGTCTTAAGAATAAGTATAGGCGCACTTAAGAGTACACCCATTTCAAATTTAAACGTAGAATGCAATGAACCTCCACTAAATTTCAGAAGAGATTACTTAACGGAGAAGTTTTTATTAAAAATGTATGCAAAGAAAAGTCCGGTAGTCCAAAAATGCTTCGAGCTCAGTATTTACGATCTAGTCAAGGAATATTGGCAAAAAAAGCCTACAATTCCTATTATTGAATCGTACAAATACGTAAGGATACAACTTAGTAAGGACATTTCGACTTCAAGAGAATTACCATGTTTTAAAATAGAATTAGAACACTTGGACAGCATAAAAGTAGGATATCTTAGAGACTACTCAGAATTCCCACAATATATCCGGAATAGCATGTTCCAAGCTGACATAAAGTCTATGTTCCCTAATTACTCATATATTTTTTCGGATGCATCTAAATCAGATTTAAAGGTTACATCTGCCTTTTACGATCCAGATCGAAAATTTAGTACAGTAGTAGATCTAAATATTAAAACCTCGATATATACCGCTGAACTAATAGCAATATTAGAAGCACTTAAATACATTAGTAATTTCTTAAGAACAAAATCTAATTACGTTATATTCTCTGATAGTAAAAGCTCAATACAAAAAATTGAAAATATTTCTAAATATAACAATATTGGATTTAATTATGTGTTATCTGAAATAATAAACCTGGTGGGTACAATGAAATTAAGAGGATCTAATGTAATGTTTTGTTGGATAAAAGCTCATTGTGGAATATTAAATAATGAAATAGTAGACAAAATTGCTAAATATAATGAACCATCTAAATTAGGATTATATTATATTATAAAGATATCAAACCAAAAATACAGTCCTCAACGTGGTTCAAAAACTCAAATTTTAATAAAGATATGATTAGAATACTATGTAGAATAAGATTTAACCATGCTCTGTCTCCGTTACATAAGTTCAGAATTAATTTAGCTGAAACTCCATTTTGCGAATGTGGCGAAGAAGGCTCAATTGAGCATTTAGTTTTAAATTGCTCTTTAAATACACGATGTATAAACCAATTTATAATAAAAATATACGAGTATATCAATAAGGAAAAAATTCTTATTAAAAGACCTTTAATTTATCAGATTTAATAAAAACCAATAACTTGCATATTTATGAAATAATTTTTCGCCACGTACGTGAAATGAAATTGAATTTCTAAATGTATTATGGTAACATTGTATATATTTCAAACATAAAAAGTTAGTTATATAAGTCCTTTGTTTTAACCCAGTTGTTAACCTTTCTATCCGTGGTCTAATTTTGTGTTGTGCAAATCGCCTTGATAGACCCCTAGGCGTATGTAATAAATCAGCAAAACCATATATTTTCCTTTTCCTTCCAGTAAAAAAAAACTAAAAATAAAAAAAAAATAAAAAAAAGAAATAATAAAAAAAAATAAAAAAATAAAAAAAATTAAAAAAAAAATAAAATAAAAAAAAATTAAAAAAAATATAATGAAAAAAAAAATTAATGTAGGTACGTACTTATATGTAAGTCAATAGAAGTTAAGATTTTATTGTTGTTACGGGTTCTCTCTATAACAATTGTTTAAAAAATTAATTAATAACTCAAAACATAATAGGCTAATGGACTATGTCTCTAGTCATAAAATAAAACTACACACACATACTTTTTAGAAATAGAAATGAACTACGAGGAGGAGCAAAAATATTTGCAGAGACTTCTAGAGGAAGTTGATAGTAATGATGAATTGGAATGCAACTATTCTGCGGATAGTTCTGAAGAAAATGAAGTTGAAATACAAGATCTCGATACAGATAGTGAACAGGATATATCAGAAGCAGAAAATGATGTTTTTGATGAGGCAGAAGCACAAAATATTTGCCGGCGAGTTCCTATTTTTTTTGGTAAGGATAAAAAAACTAAATGGCGAAAGCATGTTGGTAATAAGCGAGTGCGTACGAGAGCAGACAATTTAAGGAGGCATTTACCAGGTGTAAAGGGGGATGCTAGGGAGAAAATAATCTTTAGTGATATTTGGGGCTGTTTTATAACAGACCAGATGTTGGAACTTATTGTAAAAAATACAAATATAAATATTGAACTACATGCTGATCCTCTGAATAGAACCTACAGAAAGACGGATATACTAGAAATAAAAGCACTTATAGGCCTGTTGTACATAGCAGGAAAGTTCAAGAATAACCATCTCAATGCTCGCGACTTGTTTAGAACAAACGGTACATCCTTAGAAATATTTCGCCTTACAATGTCATACGAGCGATTCAAATTTCTATTGGCATTTATTCGCTTTGATAATAAACAAACTCGTGCAGAGAGACAAAAAGTTGATAAATTAGCTCCTATCAGAAGCTTTTTTGAAGACTTCAACACCAATTTGCCAAAACACTACGCCATGTCACACTATTGTACAGTTGATGAAAAATTAGAAGCCTTTAGGGGCCGCTGTGGGTTCAAAGTTTATATGCCAAAAAAACCAAATAGGTACGGTATAAAAATATATGCCTTGACTGATGCTAAATTAGCTTATACCTCAAATTTAGAAATTTATGTTGGTCAGCAACCAGAGGGACCCTACCAGCAAACCACAAAGACTTTGGATTTAGTAGTACGTTTGTGCAGACCTATCTGGGGTACAAATAGAAATGTTACTCTTGATAATTTTTTTACCAGTAAGCAGCTTGCTGACACATTACTGGCCAATCATCAGCTAACTATAATTGGAACTCTTCGAAGAAATAAGCCAGAACTGCCTTTGGAATTTACGGCGCCTATAAATAGGCCTACTTCTACAAGTATGTTTGCATATCAAGATAAATGCACTATTGTTTCGTATATTCCAAAACCGAAAAAAAATGTGCTCCTGATGTCAACAATGCATTATGAAGATGATACGTTGGATCCAAAGACTGGTAAGCCTAACATAATAATTGATTACAACGAAACCAAAGGAGGAGTCGACACTATTGATAAGATGTGTGAAAGCTACAATTGTGCAAGATCGACTAATCGCTGGCCCATGGTGATATTTTATGCAATATTGAATATCGCCGGCATAAATTCATTTACAATATACAAGTGTAATTCTGCTCGGACAGACCAACGCATACTACTTAGAAGAACATTTTTAGAGACAATGGGTATTCAACTGCTTGAACCACATGCAAGACGTAGAGCAATTGCAACAAACCTGCCAAGGGTGATAAGTATGCGACTCAGAGAAATGTTTGATATCACATTGAATGTACAAAATATTGAAAAATCTAATGGTCGTTGTTTTTACTGTGGAAGCAAGAAAAGTCGAAAAACAAAGTACAGTTGTTACTCATGCAATAAATTTATGTGCTTAGAACACATAAAGGGTATATGTGTGGAATGTTCAGAAAAAGATTGACTTTTTTTAAGTTTAAAGTTACTTCGTATTATTAGAGTTGCTTAAGTGTGGTTATTATAAGTGGATAATTTCATTTTTAGTTTAAAAATAACTCAGCAAATTTTTTGTTTATATTACGATTTTAGAGTTTTTTTCTCACTTTTTAGAATAGTTGCTTGTTTTTGTTAAGGAATTATTTTTGTCAAAATAAATGTTTATAAATATAATTTTTAAATAAAACTGCATTTATTTTAAATAAAAAAGTATTCAATAAGACCCTTGAAATAATTAAATTTTAAAAATTTGTAAAATTTACAGTACTAGGGCATGTATAAACATACGGTCCCAGAGACGGACGTTAGCACTTATGTCAAAATAATTCACATTAGCACTGAATGGTTAAACATGGCAATATGCTAATTTTTCTATGTATAGCTTGTACATATCGTTATTTTTTTAAAACACTGAAAAAAATAGTTTTGTGTGCTAAAGGGTTAAGTGTCCATTCATATTGAAAGTAAACTAAGACATTGTGAACACAAATATGCTTATTTTTAATGTATATTCATTGACTGGAAACAAGTATGAATATTTTTTTTAGGAAATACAAAGTAATACTATTTATTTTACTCACTATCCGTTTTTGAGACACTCTCATTTAGTTAAATATATGCATAATGAAAGTATCTGATTTTTTAACTTAATTTTCTTGAAATAAAAATGGACATTGTAGTACTGATATATCAATATATTATTTTACTTTCAGCAGCCGCTGGATCAGTTACCAGAAATCTTATATACAAACTGACAGAATATATCTCTTCTTTTTTATAACCATTGTTATATAATACAATTGTTTTATTTCATTCTAAACCAAAATTAAATTATACATTAACCATTTTCAAGAAATATGTCTGACCAATCACAACTATCAGTGTTAGTTTTTGATGTAAAATACTGTCCAGCTGTGTTTTCTGAATTATATAGGTTAAATTCTTCATTTGTAGCCAAATTAGCTGGCTTTAAATCTTGATATAATAATTCCCTACCTGAATAATCTACATTACAATTTGTGTATTGTAAATATTTGTCAAGTTCAAATAATCTAGGTTTTAAATGAAAATAATCATCTAAAAATTCTAGAGCACTTTTAAAAGTCTTTAAATTATTGAAGTATCTTTTCTGCTTCCTTGGCAATATCCTCTCCAACATAAACACTAAATGGTGATGGAAGCACTGATATATTAAATTATATGGCTTTTCTTGAATCATTTGACTAGGCTTGTTGCTTTCCTTAAGATATTGATCCATCGTCAAAGTACTATTATAACAAATATCTAACCAGTTTTGTATACAATCCAGAGTTGTTTCTAAGTTTCCGGCAAAGATTGTAGGATTAGTCAGGATACCATTTGCAACCATTACACCCTTACATCCTGTATAATCTTGTAATTTATAACAATCATCTAATGTTGTCACACCTCCATTAGCTATCACAGGTAAAGAACAAGTATCATTTATTAACTTTAAAGTGTCTTTGTTAATATCTCCTACATTTTGGTAAGGAGTACGAGCATGAATAGTTAAAAAACTAATACCACACATTTCTAATTGTTTACAAATATTAACAGTTTGTTTTTCATCATATAGCAGTCGCATTTTTACACTTACAGTGAAAGGTTTCAAAATATGATTTCTGCATTGGCGAACCATATCATAAATTAATTCTGGTTTCTTTAACATTTCACAACCCAATTCTTGCTCTCTTGCCCATCTCTGTGGACAACCACAATTCAAATCTACTCCGTTACAATGTGGTGAAGCTAAATATGCTGCACCTACAAAATCATACACAGTATTTGATGCAAATTGTATAACAACAGGAGTGTCTAAAGAATTTGTGGTAAATTCATTACGCCTGGCTTTTGCACTCTGGCAAAAAGAATCTGCTAAAATCATAGGAGTAAATGTTAAATCACAGTTATACAGTTTAACAAGGTTTCTAAACTGTAATTTGCTGTATCGTACCATGGGCGCGCATATTTTCACTAACTTTTTATCTCGAAATAAATCGAGAATGTCTGTCTGCATGTCATTCTTGCTGCCCATTGTATAGAATAGGATTTAATTCATACTAAGTAAAACATAATAAACATGTAAATTCTTAATAACAAAGATAACCTAAAGTTTTTACACTTCTTCTTATTTTAAGACCTATGACATTCCCGTCACAGAGGAAGTAGTTTGGGCTACTCGGCCAACTAATTTTATATCAATTATTTTTTTCTGGAACTACTTACTAAGCCCATGATACTTGACTAATAAAATAGGATTTTCCCGTAGCACAAAATCGGCCGTGTTCGCGCATGCCGTCATTGGAGAGCAGAATTTGAATTCTTATTAAAGTTAAATGGATTTGTATGCATTCTGTGATGAAATTACTAGACGAAAATAAGTTAAGAGGTTTAATAATTACAATAATCTTACACATAAGGATATCTCTGATACATACAAAAAACTGACATTTCGAACGTGCAACTCTCCAATGACGTCACGACTTAAGGTCGATTCAGACACATCAGTCACATCTCGTCACAGTTCAGGAGCGATCACAGATCACCTACCTCCCTAGATGTTCCCACGACAATACTTTAGTTGGATATGAAATTCAGCGCTCCATAAGATTAGTATCGGAACTAATTCAAGCGAGAAATTACGCGGGAAATTCAAATTTTAATTTTGGTGGGAAAATTTAAATAAAGTTTAAAATTTTTAAATATAATTTGGTATATTTGAAAAAAAAATGCATGACATTTTTAATTTCAAATATACACAATACAATTTAGGAAAAATAAAACAAAATGTAATTTATTTATTTATCTAATACTTGTAAAACAGCTTTGTAATTTAATATAGAATAAAAATATGCTATTATCACTGAAAATTGTACAATTTTATGGAAAAAGCTTACAAATGTAGGCTTCTTATTGTTACCGCCTTTTTTTTTAATTTAAAATTTGATGTTCTGTCATGGTGTAATGACAGCTGACAGTTGACAGACGACAAGAAGATTGTAAGACACGAGGTCGGAATAAAGTTGCGTGAACCATGTTTGTGTTTTATTTTTACATCTTAAGAAATTGAAGACATCCTTTCTACAGAATCAGGTGTGGGGTTATACTTATGTTCCCCTTGTGCTGTTAGGACAGAAGGATATTATATTTTTTATGCTTCGTTATGGATAACCTCGAAAATAACTTACCGTTTACACCACCACCTGTGTTATCACCCCAAGTGAATAGCCCCCGCGCAAATAATAATGTGAATCCGAATCCGGATGATAATATGGTAAACCTTGTTAATTCATTGCTTCAACAGAATGCACAGATGCTTCAGATGTTACAACTACAAAACAGTATGTCAACCATAAGTAATCCTGTACCAAATTTTAATATAATGCCAGACTTATCTAAAACTATTGAAAAATTTAATGGTGAAGGTGATTCCAGCCAAGCTGCAGTATGGTTAAAGCAAATTGAGTCTACAGCGGTACTTCACAATTGGCCTGATGCATTTATATACCAAACAGCCAAAAGCAATCTCGAAGGTGCTGCAAAGTTCTGGTTTATAGGCCGAAATGAAGAAGTCACAGATTGGTCTAAATTTAAAACAGCTTTCCGGAAAACGTTTCTGTTTTCACAAAATAAAACAGATTTATGGAGGAAGATGCAAGAGTGTACTCAAAATCCAAATGAGAATGTTTCCATTTATTTCCATATGAAAGTTTCTCTATGCAAATCACTTGAACTGCCCTTTGAAGAAACAAAAGAACAAATTGCCATTGGTTTGTGGAGTAAGGAACTAAGTAATTTTATTATGTCAAAAGAGCATCGTGATGAAGACACCCTGTATCAAGACATCGTGAGTTATGAAAGAATTGTTAGTGCTAGAAAAGGTAGAATAAGCGATAGAAGAGAGAAACCTAAAGCAAAGGAAAACTATAATACAAAATATGAACATTCAAAATATGACTGGCAAAGACCAACTACTTTTAAAAATAATTCAACTACACGAAGCAAAGCTATTAGATGTTACAACTGTAATGAGATGGGACATTCTGCAGTTCAATGTACTAAAGCAGCTAGACAGAAGGGTTCATGTTATATGTGTGGAGCAATGGATCACCAAAGAAATAATTGCCCCAAGAATGAGTCCAGGAGGAATCCAGTCAAGGTAGACAGTAACACTGCACTTTTTGTGGAACAGCATAATGCAAGTGGGTATATGTTGCCAATTTGTCTTTTGAAGGACAACATTTCTATTTATATTGATTCTATTGTAGATTCAGGTAGTGCTATATCCTTAATAACATTAGATACTGTAAAATCTTTCAATTTTGAATTTTGTGATATTCCTGAGAAAACTTTCCAGGGTATTAACCAAAGTAGATTAGAAATTTTGGGTTCTGTTTTGTTTAAGATGAAAGTTAATGACATATTTATTGATTTACTTATTTATATTGTACCAAACGAAACCATACCATATAAATGTCTGTTAGGTAGAGATTTTATGCAAAATGACAACCTTACCATTTCTTTTTCAGGGAATAAAGTAGAGATTTCTTCTAAAGATATTGAAAATACAAATATTGACAATGATATTTTACATATTGACTATGTAGATAAAAATGAAATTAATATTGATATCAATCCTAATTTAAATAATTTAGATAGACAAAAGTTAGTTGATATTTTTATGACTGATTATGTAAATCCAGAAAGACCTAATGAACCTATGACTAAATGTGAAATGAAAATTGTTGTAGATCCAAATCATGTTCCTTTTTATAATAAACCACGTAGGTTATCATATGCTGAAAAAAATGCTGTACAAGAAATAATTAATGACTTGTTAGATAAGGATATTGTTCGTAAGAGTAATTCAGAGTATAGTTCACCAATAGTTTTAATTAAAAAGAAAACTAATGACTTCAGACTATGTGTAGACTATCGTTCATTAAACAAGATCACTTTACGGGATAATTTTCCAATTCCACTGATTGAAGATCAACTTTGTCAACTTAAAGATAAACGTTATTTTTCAACTTTGGATCTCAAAAGTGCTTTTTATCACGTTAATGTAGAAGAATCTTCAATTAAATACACATCATTTGTAACTCCCAGTGCTCAATATGAATTTTTGAAAATGCCATTTGGTTTGCGCAATTCACCATCTGTTTTTATGCGATACATTCATACTATATTCAAGCACTTAATGGAACATAACAAATTACTAATATATATTGATGATTTATTAATAGCAACAAAAACTGTTGAAGAGAACTTAGATATTCTAAAAGAGATATTTTGCTTATTGGTTCAAAACAAATTGAATCTCCGTCTTGACAAATGCTCCTTTTTAATGACTGAAATAAATCATTTAGGCTACATAATTAATGGTGATGAGATAAGGCCAAGTGATAGACATATTAGTGCAATTAAAGAGTACCCAGTACCACGAAATGTTAAACAGTTACACAGTTTCATAGGCCTTACTTCATATTTTAGAAAATTTGTTCCCAACTTTTCAATAATTGCTGGACCACTTTATGATCTATTAAAAAAGAATGTTTCATTTGAATTTGGAAGAGAACAAATGAAAAGTTTTTATAGTTTAAAACAAATTTTAATGTCCAAACCTGTTTTAGCTCTCTATTCTCCTACAGCTGAAACCCAAATCCATTGTGATGCAAGCTCTAGTGGTTATGGTGGGATATTACTCCAAAAGCAAGCAGACCAAAAATTTCATCCAGTGTTCTTTTACAGTCAGAGAACTACGCAAGCTGAATCTAAACAGCATAGTTTTATTTTGGAACTAAAAGCCGTTATCAACACACTTAACCGATTTAGAGTATACTTATATGGAATTAAATTTAAGATACTGACAGATTGTAATAGTGTAACAACAGCTTTACAGAAGAAAGATGTTAGCCCTAAAATTATGAGATGGAGTCTCATTCTTGATAATTTTGATTATATTATAGAACACAGAAGTGGAACAAGCATGAAGCATGTTGATGCTTTAAGTAGGTGCTTTGGAAGTATTTTAATAATCGAGGAAAACACTTTTGAACATAATTTAGCTATTAAACAAGGGCAAGATGATATTATATGTAACTTAAAGGAGACGTTACAATCCAGTGAGCATAAGTTGTTTGAGATGAACAATGACATACTTTATAGAAAATGTAATAATTTACTACTATTTTATGTACCTGAATCAATGGAAAACAATGTGATTAGGAGTTGCCATGATGAATTAGGACATGTGGGCTTAGATAAATGTTGTGAAGCCATAAAAGAATGTTACTGGTTTCCTAATATGAGACAAAAGGTAAGAACTTATATTACAAATTGTTTGAAGTGCATTGTATTTGCTCCTAACAGTGGTAAAAAGGAAGGATTTTTACACAACATACCAAAGGGAGACAAACCATTTAATATTTTACATTTGGATCATTGTGGACCACTTGAAAAATCTAAAGGAACTGGTTATAAGCATATTTTTGCAATTGTAGATGGTTTTACCAAATTCTTGAAATTGTATGCTTGCAAGTCAACTAATTGTAATGAGGTTATTAAGTATTTAAACTCATACTTCTTTACTTACAGTAAACCTTTAAAAATAGTCACTGATCGAGGCTCAGCTTTTACATCCAAACAATTCACTAAATTTTTAGAAGATAATGGAATACAGCATGTTCTTGTAGCTACTGGTGTACCAAGAGCCAATGGACAAATTGAAAGGTTCAACCGGTTTATTATACCAATGATAGCGAAACTAACCAAGGGCCCAGAATGTTGGGATCAAGTACTTAATGAAGTTGAATTTGCTGTCAACAACACTGTTAATCGAACTACAGGTCAGACACCTTCTAAGCTATTATTTGGAATGAACCAAGTAGGTAATGTCAAAGATAATTTAAAGTATTTTCTGTCATCCATTAACAAAGACAAGTCTGATATTAATGAATTACGACATAATGCAAGTGACAAGATAGAGAAATCCCAAGAAGTCAACAAGCTGTATTATGATTCAAGACATAAACAAGCTTCAATTTATAATATTG